TTCGTTTAAAGCCTTGAAATATGCACTTTTGAGAGCACATTGATTCCATCCGGAAGCTGCGGCTTTGACCCCGGAAGTTGATGGAGAAATGTGCTACAGAAGAATTTCCCTGTCTAAGGTTCAAAAGAGCACGAGAGTCAATCGTTTGGTCAGATTCTTGGTTAAATACTTGGGAAAATTCAGAAACAAAATCAGAAAATTGACATCTGAGACTGTCTTCGGAGGCAAACCTTGCCTCCGCCCACTCTTGGGCTTGTCCGGTTAGTTGGGACAGAATAAATGTTATTTTCTTTTGATCAGTTGGGAAACTGCCAGGAGAATTTTGAAAAATTAGACGGCATTGAAACAAAAATCCCTTACAGTCCTTCATATTACCTGAAAACTTTTCAGGAAGACTAGGGCGGAACTCAGGTGATGACGTCACTGCCGGTGACCTCGGAGGCGGAAGTGGATCCGGAACTTGACGTGCCGCCGGCGTGGCGTTTGCACTGCTCATGTAGTTAGCATAGCTCTGAAGCATTTGGTTATTGCAACTTATCTTGGCATATAACTCACGAAGGGCTTGAGTTTGTCCTTGGATTAGAGCGTCTTGCTCCTCCAGCCTTTGATGAAGGTGATCTGCTGGGCCTTGTGTTTGGCCACAGTGTTCTGTCATGAAGGGTTTCAGAAAAGCCCAGTATGCAGAACACCACGGAAACGGATGAAAAGTTTAACAAAGTTTATTGAATACAAGCACATGGAATAAACACTGGAACTTGTTCGGGCCTGGGGGCAGGTTCACTGGAGTCTGTGAGGATGACAGTTCAGTTAGCTTGGGAGCAGAAGAGTTTGAGTTTGAGAGTTTCTGATTGATACCTTGAGGAGTCCGGGTTTGGCTTTGAGAGAGGAACTGTTGGGTCCAGAGGCAGTTTAATTCAGCAGAGTCCAATAACCGCTTCAGCGTCTTACTTCTAGTTTGAGGGCAGACCTTGGTTTTAGGTTTCCAGCTCTTTGTCCAGAGCTGCATGGGAATCCAGAGAAGAGCCTTCAGGTTTGGCTCTGAGGGCAGGCTCGGCAGGTTAAGCTCATACAGAGCTTACAAGGGAAACAGGATAAAGGAGAGGATCCTCTGATGACGAGATGCGCCTCAGGTGTGTTGGAGGCTCAGCTCAGGAGGATCCACGGCGCACTCTGCTGGAGAAAGGTGGAACAGCTCCAGATCCCAACATTATGTAAATCTTTGAAAACTTGGCCTTTATATTTTAATGTGTTGATTGTGTTGACCCTTTAAGAAAGTAGTTAAAAACGTGATAGTCTGCTTTGTGCAGGACATTACTTGATTGATTGATTTACTTTTCTGATCTCACAGTGGAGAAATTCACCCATCACGTCTCGTGTTCATCTCATCTCAAGTACAAGTATAATGACTCAATCTTTTTTTTTTCTAATTTTACTTGTAAAGCATTAAATGGCCGTGACCTGGGAAAAAGTGCTTCTTAAATTAAGTTTACTTACTTATTATTTTTTTTAAATGGATGACTGCAAAGCACTAACCTGTGCCACTGCAACATAAATAACTACTGTTATGCTTCTCACTAGCATTTTAATCACTTTGTAGTCTGCTGATGACAGTTTTTTCATTTCCTGTCTAAACACTCAGTCTTCCCCAAGAGAAATAAACAGCATGACGAACAAATAACAACAAAGTTAAAGAGGAATTCATTTCCAAAGTTCATCAAGGTAAAATATAGCCAGATATAAATCACTGTTGGTCACATTGTCTGACTGACAAGAAGATTCTGGCAAGACTTTTGCAAAAATATTTATACCATTAAGCATTTTACTTTAAAGGAAAGTGACTCATTAGGAGTTGAAGCTTATTTATATGCATATTTCTTTCTTTTCTTTTTTTTCATCTTAAATAAAAAGAAGCCAAGGTATCTAACTTCATACAATATCTGAAAAGGCAGCTTTTTCTCTTTTCTTCAGCTGGGTTGATCACAAATTTATGGACTGGTGTCTAAGTGGTGAAAGTACCTCTGAATTTTTCTGAACAACAAAAACATTTCAATCTAAGACAAAAAAGGGAGTGTAAGTAGAACCTTTTGTCGAGCTGTGACTCTTGCACGGTGCATACATATGCGTGTAAATGTCACTGCGTTTGTCAGGCGACAGGAAGGCTGTCATAGGTAATCACAGCTGTCACACCTTTGCGGTACCCACACTTTCAAGTTTTTGATTGTTTTGTGAGACTGTGCGAGAGTTTATGGAGTTGAACGAATGTCTGCCCTCCACTACGCCAAACAGAAGACTGCTTTTGCAGATTTCATTAGGAGACTGATATTTATTCAGTCAGAGTGAACAACTGAAAAGCCCTATGGTCCACTAACGGCTTAAAGTCTGTGACACACCAGTGAGCAGCTGTCTACTCCGAACTAAAGGACGTACTAATCAAATACAGCAGTCTGTGCTACTTGTTTTGTCTTTCTGAAAAACAATGTGATCATGTTCTTTCAGAACATTACTCATATTTAACCTTTTTAAACACAAATACAACTGAAGGTTATATAATTATCTTATTTTATGCCTGGGGGCATATTGAGAGCTTTACTCTGTGCATAAGGATGTGAATCATAAAAGGTGGACTCCGTTTTATGGTGAGTTCATTAACAGATAAGGCCACACAGTGAAAATCACTTTTTATTTACAATAAATCAAATTTACATCAGAAAAATTTAGCAGAAAACCAATAGAGTGGAACAAAAATTTAGTTAGCCCTAAAGCACCTATAACACTTCTTGAAAAATTCAAATTGTTAAAATTGATGATTTTAAAGAAGAAATATTAATGTAAAAAAAATAATTTAAATTTTTTTTATAACTATATCATAATCTACATTCATAGTAACATAACAGCATTTCTTTGAGTCCCCAAGTTCTTGCATTATGTGCCTTGCAAAGGTAATTATACCTTCTAAATTTTTCCAAATTTCTTCCATGTGACCTATAACATCAATGTTTTTATCAGGGTTGTGTGTGATAGATTGAACAAAAGTAGTGTTTTTTTGAGGAAGAGTGAAAAGGAACCATGTTACTGAAAATTGGAAGTAGGTACAAGGAATATGTAGATTGCTTTTGCAAGGCAGTTTCACTTCCAACTCATCAAACATTGATGCTTTGTCAAGCGTCCTATGACTGATGCATGGGGGCCTGACCAGGCTATGTTCAGGAAACTGTTGCAGATGCAGAATCCACAGCCTGATGTGGCTAAAACGAGATGAACCACTAGTATATACCAGCTGGGATTAAAATCTGTAAGTTTTTTTTTTTAGTGACTCCAAAAGCCGTGCATACACTGTATGATACTTTCAATCATTGAACTCAGCTACAGCTCAACCTGTACGACGAAACTGCAGGGTTTAAAATTTCACATCTCACAATGTCTGTTCTTAGACCTTAGGGCCCGACGCTTTAATACAATCTAACTGCTCACACTAAACGTCCAAAAACCCACACATCGGACTCAGCGCTGAGAGATAGCGATGGTCGGACTCGTCAATTTGGAAGTAGAAGAACTGCCTTGTTTGCACATGCGCAGTGTGTGAGGTTTTGGTAGATGCCCGATGCTCTGCTTCAGTAGCAGGATTTGCCCACGAACCTCACCAGGACCGACTGAATTTCAAACATGTTTGATTTTCTCCTGACCTTACGAGTCCTAATCGCAAGGTGGTCGTGAGACGCTAATCACCCTCATTACCCCCTGTATATTACATGATGCAGGAAAAATTCTCGCATGATTGGAGAATCGGGCAACAAACCTAAAAGGGCAAGAAATCGCACAGCGTAGGCCCGACTTTAGTTAGTGAAAGAATGCCGTGTTATGGTTGCAGTAGAAAAATCTCTGCCAGGACTGCCTCGTGTCCCCAAATCTGTTTGTTGGGTTCATGGACATAATCACACACCATAACTGAAGAGGAAGTTTCTAGTTTGGGATCTTTAGGATTTCATCTTTGCTTTTTTGAAAATTATATGATTCTTATGGCTTCTTCAGGCCATGGATTTTAAAATTAACAATTGAGCAGTTGGCAGCGGGAAAGATTTGCTCCCTTATTCAGTGGGAGCGCAAAGCAGAGCTACACCTCCTCTAAACCGAAGGGATTCAGTCAAGATGCTTCAGGCCTCTGATCATTATTTTCTTATGAGGTACATCACACTGAGTCCACAAAACTTGCTGCTTTGACTAAATATCCCTTCAGATTTAGAGACTCATTTGGATATCCTAAAATGAGCAGGAGAGTTATGTCTGGATTTCCTCACTGTAGGAGTTACCCCAACAGGGGGTTTTGCATTTGTCAAAGACCTTAGCTGAATGGACGCTGATGCGTTACAATGCCCTAGGTTAGAGATTTCTAACTCCTCACATATCGCTTTCTTGCATGGTTCTTGCTCCATCATAGCTGATTTAAATGGCTGAATTAATGCATGTCATCAAGCACTGCAAAGATCTGCTAATGAACTATTCCTTCAATCAGCTATATCAAACCAAGACACCATCTAAACCATGCACATTTTTGACTCTTGAGGATTAACTCTGGACACCACTGATGTGGCTAAAGAAAAATTTCCACATTTCCTTTGATGCAAGAATCTAAAACTGCGGTTCACAGACACTCCTCAGCTAATAAAACTTAATCTAAGCTACTCCACATGAAATGAGCAAACATTTTAGTTTCCAGATGTGCACAGATGGTTCAGAGGGGGTGTCACAAAGGGACCATGACTTAATTTCCTTCAGCTTTAAAATAATATTTGGAGTTGTTCATTCACATAAAATCGGATAATACAGTGAGGTTTGACGTTCTTGGTTTAATAAAATATGAAATTTCAGGAGGTATAATTATCCCCCATGGCCCTTCAGTAATATTTATCATAACAAAATAAATTGTTAAATAAAAGGTATCTAACTACTAATAAAATATTTTATATTAGAACAGAAGATTCTCATGGTGCTTCATCTTATACCTGGATAGTAGTCATTCCTGTGTCTTGTCCAACCAGGATCCTCCTGTCAAGCAGCTTTGCAATCTGGGTGTCTTCTACCTTTAGGAAGTCCCCTACAAGCTCTGTGATGTCCACCTGCCAGTCAGTGCCAAGCATGAAGGCGGTCTGACCTCGTTGTTCAGCTGACTCTGCAATGAAATGGGTCAGGACTTTGACCATTGCATGTTGGTACTGCAGAGTGCAGCTCCGTCCACGCCTGTCCTCATCATCCTCATCGTCGCTGTCCCACGAGGACCTGACAACATAAAGTAAAAATTTATGCTGGGCAACATGAATATATGTGGATTTGTCTTCATTTCACAGCCTCAGATATAATAGCATCATCTGATCTACTACTACTGATCTACACATTACAACACTCATCAAAACCAACAACATAACCAATAATAAACTGATTGGATTTTACCAACAATTTAACAATCATGACAGACTTGGAACTTCTAGCAAAACTTTCCTACGTCCATGATAAACTTTAAATAGAAAAAAAAAAGATCTGAGGAATACACAACCTCCAGGAAAGCTTTTTAGAGCAAAAACATGTCTTTCAACTTCAAAGGTTGCTAAGGTGTGGAGGTGCAAAAGTATTTCAATGCAGAAGGTAGAGCTAACTTCTTTAGACTGAGTCAACTCTCAGTGTCACTGTTACAGCTGAGGCTTCAGAAGAGAACCTGAAGATGTAAAGCCAGGCATACAAGAGAGTGCAATAAATGGTGAATTTCACCGAATCTTCAGCTCCTATTCTATTTATCATTTAGTTATAGATCTACTTCAAACTTGTGTCAAACAATCCTAAATTAAGCTTAGCTATTATTTCTGTTTTGTTTCCTTATACTATTCTACATTTAAAAAGAGACCCATCAGCAATGAGTCCCCCAGCATGTCTTTGCCATTTATGCAAGAATATCCACTCAGATTAGGCGGACATCCTTTACCACCAATCTCATAATTCAGCCCTTCTCTGGATAAGCTGCTTTGGTTTTCAACACCCCTGTCCTGTTGAAGGCTGCACCCCCACAACCCGCAACCATGACAACCAGTCAGAGTTTGTAAAGAGAGTCTGTAAAACAATACATTAGGTGAAAGCCATAGTTTGACCAAGAGGCTGCTCTGGACATCTTTTTTCCCCTGATGACATCATAAAGGGGAAAGATAGTCAAACAGCGCTTTTTCAACACACATTAGCTAAGAGACTGTTAGGTTCAAAAATGTAGGTTCGTAAAAGAAGGACTGAGTACACACAGAAAGGGACTTTCAACAGCTTCCTGCAGGAGTGGAGAAAGAGCTGCAACCCAACACACTACTCTCTCTCTCCGACCCCCCTCCTGAGGTGCCTTATTTATTAACAGAACATAACACATGGTTACAAAACAGAGTATTGTTCTGACAGGACAGTTGATCAGGTCATAAGACAGGATGCTCCACTGACTGAATCACAAGGCAGAGTGAAGCATCTCCTAGCTTCAATGTTTATACGAACATACATTAATTTTATAATCATCATTGAATAAACCTAACAAGGCAAGGCAAATTTATTTGTATAGCACAATTCAGTACAAAGACAATGCAAAGTGCTTTACATGATTAAAATACAGGAAGATAAAACAGAATCAAAGCAAGTAGGAAAAAAAATAAAAATAAAAAAATAAATAAAATAAAATAAAAAATGCAGAAACAAAAAAAGAATATTAAAAACAGTTGGATTAAAGAAAATATGTTTTAGTTGAACTGTTTAACTAGAACAGTCGAAGGCAATCCTAAACAAATGTGTTTTTAGTCTAGATTTAAAGGAACTCAGGCTTTCCGCACTTTTACAGTTTTCTGGAAGTTTGTTCCAGATAAGTGGAGCATAGGAACTAAATGCTGCTTTTCCATGTTTAGTTCTGGTTCTAGGTATGCAGAGCAGGCTGGAGCCAGAAGACCTGAGTGGTCTGGAGGGTTGATACACTGATAGCAAGTATGTGATGTATTTAGGTGCTAAGCCATTCAGAGATTTATAGACTAACAGAAGTATTTTAAAGTCTATTCTCTGAGATACAGGGAGCCACTGTAAGGACTTTAGAACTGGGGTGATGTGCTCTACTTTCTTAGTCTTAGTGAGGACACGGGCAGCAGCGTTCTGGATCAGCTGCAGCTGTCTGATCCACTTTTTAGGCAGACCTGTGAAAACACCGTTGCAGTAATCAATTCGACTAAAAATAAAGCATGGATTAGTTTCCAGATCATGCTGTGACATTCGTCCTTTAATCCTGGAAATGTTCTTCAGGTGATAGAAAGCCGACCTTGTAATTGTCTTTAAATGCTTTTGGAGGTTCAAGTCTGAATCCAGTACTACACCTAGATTTCGGGCCTGATCAGTGGTTACTAACTGAAGCGACTGAAGCTGTGTGCTAACAAGGTGGAGAAAGTAAATGATAGAAGTGAAAGTTTTTTTTTTTTCATTTGCAAAACACATACACAACCTTCTTGTCACATATGACTGTTTATAATTTGATTTTTTTTTTGCATAATATGGGTTCATAATATGGCTTTAATATAACCCAGATTCAATTTGTGAAAAAATGTGTTGCATATTGACATTTTGAAAACAGGCTGTCATGTTGAAATTAAAATGGCTGCAGGCCCGAAGTGGTTGCTACATATACCACTTTGAAACATGACTTAAAGGAATAGTACACCCAAAACATGATTAGCCTTCATTTTCTACTCACCCCCATGCTGAACAGCACTCTGGAGTACTTTTTTGATATCTCAAATGCATCTGGAGATCTGGGAGGCTTCTTGCTGTCTGTTGACATTCAAATAATGGAGGTCTATGGTGCCCGAGACAGAAAGGTCCATAAAAGTCCACAAAAAACGTGTCAATATTCCTCCATACTGCTCGTCCAATGTATTCCAAGTGTCCTGAGTGGGTAGCATCCAGAATTTACTCGAAACGAAGTCATTTAGAATGTTTTTAGAGCATAAACAGTAGTGTATAGGATTTCCTGAAAGCGCGCACACGCGCGCTCACGACGCTACGGAAGCCGGCAGACCAAACCAGCGCATTCAGCTCGGCAAAGAACTCATGCTCTTCCTCAACACTGAAGTCCTCAGATATTTTTCTTTCGTTGTTTCTTTCTTTGCACAGGTAAACAGCACATTTCTTCTTCTACGCTTGCATTATTGGAAGAGCAGACGCTGAATGCGCACTTTCATCTGGTTTGATCTGCCGGCTTCCGTAGCGTCGTGAACGCGCATGTGCGCGCTTTCAGGAAATCCTATACACTACTGTTTATGCTCTAAAAACATTCTAAATGACTTCGTTTCGAGTAAATTCTGGATGCTACCCACTCAGGACACTTGGAATACATTGGACGAGCAGTATGGAGGAATATTGACACGTTTTTTGTGGACTTTTATGGACCTTTCTGTCTCGGTCACCATAGACCTCCATTATTTGAATGTCAGCAGACAGCAAGAAGCCTCCCAGATCTCCAGATGCATTTGAGATATCAAAAAAGTACTCCAGAGTGTTGTTCAGCATGGGGGTGAGTAGAAAATGAAGGCTAATCATGTTTTGGGTGTACTATTCCTTTAAACGCAACAGTTTAGCTTTTGCTTTCATTTCTCATAAGCTGCAACCACAGATCTAAGACTTTTTTAGGTACACAACAAGCCTACATCTCTCATATATTATTTACAAATATTTCTAATACTGTGTTACTGAGCACTTCTCCAATATATTATTATGCTGATTAGACAGCATGAGTACTGCGAAGTTGTACTGTAGGTTGGCCAGATATAAAGGCACTTTAAAATATATTGTTTTAGACATTCAGGCTTAAGGTATGTCCACCAGAGCTGTTGCCCATTAAATAAATGTAAATTTTTTCTACCATATCCTATTCAAAAGAAGGCAAAACGAAACAAATGAGCACAAGGAAGCCGAGAAGGAAAGAGTCAAAGTGGGATGCCATTGACTAAGTTATTTATTGCTAGCACTTTTCTATCAGCTGCCATTAGGCAGACTTTACAGTGTTTTCTGACTTTTCAGGGTTCCTGTAGGCTTGGGACATAAAGGTGCTTTTTCAGATGACTGACTGTTAAAAGTATCTGTCTTTGTCTGGCAATAGCTGTATTTTGTCCCTTCCCTCAGCCTTGGGTCTTTACTTTCTTTAAAGCCACGTTTATAATCATTTGTTCCATAATCCTGTGCAAAAAGTTTCTGAGGTTAAGAGAAATATCTAAATGTTTTAAAGGTGAGCAGATATGTTTCTTTTTGACCTACCGGTACATTTAAAAAGTTTACTCACATTTCATGCAAAGGAGAAAAAAAGGAACAGTGTTGATTTTGTAAGATGCAGTGACGCTAATACGTGGCCACATCCATTCTACATATTTCTTGTCAAGACAAATAATCCATTAACTATTTAAAGAAATACGCAGTCAGAGAGTGGCGTTTAGGATGGCACTTCATCGTCCATTAAAGGTAATGCATTTTCTTTTTATATAGAGTTGGCTCTGAAAACCCTTTTTGTGTAAAGAAAGGTACATTTTAGGATTGCACAGCAGCTTTGAAAAGCAATGAAAAGGCAAACTGCAATTAGTTTTATGTTTTTCTCAGCGTAAAATGAGATGGTTACTTTAAACTTAAGTATTATAGTTACCGTAGTGGTTAGAGTTATTGTAAAACTAGATACAGATCTGATATTGATTTCCTCTTACTGCCTATACGTGCTTATTTTTGCAACCGTCCTTGTTAAACCAAGCTAAACATACAGCGAATGGAGTATTTCATGAAGAACTGTTAACCAGACAGAATTCGAGTTATGAGGAAACGCTGCTAATCAAACCTGCGATAGGTGCTCCATCCTGTGAATAGCCATCATTTTTCTTTCTCTGCTTCTCTTCCTCACCGTTTGGAAGCACCTGCTCTGAATCCTAAATGTGCTTACACCTCCTTACTGCTTTACCTAATAGCCTCCCTGATTGCTCTGTTGCCCTGCAAATCTAATTTTATTACTTTAAGCAACAAATCAGCCAATAGAGTCATAACTCGTTCGCACCAGGAAAATTGCCTTGGGTTTGACAAACTAGTTTTAAATGGTTACAATATAATTAGATTTTCCCCATAACTGCTTTTCTGTCTAATGATTTAACAAACACCTTTATACAAAAAAATAAAAATAAATAAAAATAACAGAATAGAGCACAGTGACATGTTGGGAAAGCAACCTCTAAATTGTTGATCAGGGA